GGAGTAGTAAGTAGTAGTAGTAGTAGTAGTAGTAGTAGTAGTAGTAGTAGTAGCAGTAGCAATACTTTATAATAGTAAAAGTAGTAAAAAGAGTAACCATAGTAGTTTTGTATCAATAGTGGTGCAGTAGTACTACTAATAGTAGCAGCCGCATTGGTTGCGTTAGGATCTGCAGATGATAAACGACAGTGATAATTGTGGTAGCCAACAATAGCAGAGATATGTTTATATCTGCTACTCTCTGCCGATTGCTAAACCTAGAAGCAGGAATATATATCATCTTGAAATATGTTGAAGGTCCGTTTATTTTTTTTATTATCATATATATTTTTTTAGATCCGCTGTTCTAAATGTATGAATAGGACACGGCTAATATTTTTATTGTCCATTGTCTGGAAGCGAGATCTCAAGGCGATTAACTTTTGTGAGGATGCAAAAATAAAAGTATCGAAGGTAAGTCAGAAGTTTCTCATTCGGAAATTTTTATTCTTTACCCCTCATTACACTTTCGTGTCTCTGGATGTTTGTTCTCCTTTCCTATTTGAAAGTTGTTGCTTATTCCTTCTATGTCGTGTATTTCTCTTCCTATCATTTATCTCACTTCGTATCCTTCTTCTTCCTTTCTCAATTCTTGTCCATTTCTGTTGTTGTTACGTGTTCCATTGTTCGTTTCCTTGCAATTCTTGGTCTTCGACTCTTTGACAGGTAACGCGTGAAGGATAACGAGTTAAGCTAATAGAAGAGTTTGTGTAACGGGTTCTGCTCTATGTTCAGATTTCCACAATACATCATTCTTAACAGCATTTTTTTTTTTTTACAGTTTTCTTTTGGGGTAAAACTTTTATATAGCATTAAGCTTGTGCTTGTCACATATTAGTGCCTGAACGAATGATCCCTCTTTGTTACAGGTCAACACTTTCACTGGAATAAGTTTCAATTTTCACAAAAAACATACACACACGCTTACTTAGAAACCCATCCACATGCGCAGATGATTTGAGACAGTAAACAAACATGCTGGACAAACCAACTCAACCCAAACAGAAAAAAAACAAGACGAAAATGAAATCACGAATCCATGACTGACACAGGACATAAATAAAACACGAAGAAGAAACAACAACAAAAACACACAAACAAGACCACAACATACTCTCTCTCTCTCTCTCTCTCTCTTCTCTCTCTCGCTCTCTCACACACAACACACACACATCGCACACACACACACACACACACACGCAAGCACGCACGCACACAAACACACACACAAACACTACATACACCACACAATCAAACGCAACTACACTCCTCATACACATGGAAACATGGACACGAAGAAAAAAAAAAAAAATACCACGTAAAAATAAAAGTCGAAACGAAGGAAATAAAAGGAGAGAGGAGAAAAGAGAAAGTGTGACTGTGTGTCCAAAGGGAAATTGATTCTGCGTATGAGTGCGTTGCGTGCGGAGCCTGCTGAGAAGGGTTTCGTTGAGTGCGAGGAAAGGGAGTGAAGAGAGGAGAGAGAGCGCGAGAGAGAGAGAGAGAGAGAGATGAGGAGGAGAGGAGGAGAGAGAGACCTGGACGAGAGAGAGAGAGAGGAGACAGATGAGAGAGAGGATGATGAGAAGACCGAGAGAGAGAGAAATATGTAGTTAAACACACACACACACACACACACACATACACACACATACACACACACAAACCTCAACACATAGATAGGACCAGGAACAGAAGATAAGATTAGATAGATAGATAGGTAGACAGATAGTAGAAGAAGGAGAGTCAGATAGCTAAGATTAAACTTCATGAAAAATGGAGAAAAAAAATCGTTTAGCTATGTAATACAAGCATTAAAATAATTTCTTTCTTCATTAACCTACTTGACATTAAAAAAAAAAAAAAAATATCGGTTCAAGTTAAGACGCAAAAAAAAAATAAAATTCAGCCTCTCATTGCGCCTAGTAAATGCAACTTCTGGGAAGAAATGTGTTTCAATGTCCTCTGAGGCCCGTGCCGAGAAGTTCATGGCATCGTTTCACAAGAAGGTTATGTTGATGATAATTTCAACTTTGCGAAAGAGCGGAAGAGGAAAA